GTCGCAGAGAGCGGGAGCAGCAGGACCGCATGGCCAAGATGCCAGCCTGGAAGCGGGAGATCATCGAACGCCGCCGTGCCAAGCAGGGCTCCGGGACCTCCTTCTCGGACCCGGAGGGCGGTGGCGGTGGAGCAGGGCCCCCCTTGGCTGTGGCGGGGCCGCCCGGACCCGAGATGGGCCAGAAGGAGAGCACCGTGCTGCAGGAGAAGATTGGCCCAGTGCACCAGAACCCCTTCATCCAGCTGGAGAAAAGGCGCAAGGAGACGGCGGTGCCGGAGGCCGAGGCGGCCAGCGCCAAGGCCAAGCAGTTGATGGAGCTGTACAGCCAGCGCCCTGGGGTGAGGACCCTACGGGCCGACAACGTCATCATCATTGAGTCGGTGCCGGGAGCAGCGCCACTGGGGGCCGAGCGGCAGGGGGAGGCCAAATCCGGCAGCGTGGAATCCCTGAACGAGCTGCTGGCCCGGCGCGGCGGGAGCGTGACCGAGATCCGGGCCGGCGAAGTCTTCATCGTCAAATCGGCCCTCAGCCGCAGCGTGGAAGACCTCAACTCCTTCGGCCAAAGCCGCGGCGAGGCCGATTGCCGGCCGGGGCTCCCGGAGCAACGCCGCGGGCGTGTCAGCAAGCTGCTAAGCCGCTTTGGCCAGGAGGACCCACCCCCGCGACCGCTCAGGTCCCTCAGCACCGAGAACCTCGCCGATGGTTCCTACGAACGCCCCCTGGCAGCAAGGAAACCGCCCGGCTCAGCCCAGCACCGTAGTGGCACACCCAGCCCTCCCCGCGACCTGCCGGGCCTGACCCCCTCGCCGCCTCCCTTCACCGTGGCTTCCTACCGCAGCCAGTTCAAAGCCAGGTCCGAGGCCTGGCCAGAGAGCCCACCGCGGCGCTCGCCCACCGGCAAAGCATGGGGCAGGGAGGCCGCCTCGCCAGAGAGGGGAGCCAGGCATGATGGTGGCAGCCCTGGCACATTGGTGCCGGGCCCTCGGAGCAGGGAGGCCAATTCACCGGACAGGGGAGCCTGGCACAGTGGAAGCACATTGGCTGTGGTGCCAGGGCCTCAAGGCACAGAGGCCGCCTCGCCAGAGACGGGAACTAGGGGTGATGGCAGTGCCATGGCGCCAGGACCGCGAGGCAGGGAAGCCGCCTCACCGGAGAGGGGAGCCAGGCCTGGTGGCGGTGCATTGGCGGTGGGGCCGGGCCTACAAGCCAGAGAAGCCGCTTCACTGGAGACAGGAGACAGGCCTGGTGGCAGTGCATTGGTGGTGGGGCCGGGCCTACAAGCCAGAGAAGCTGCCTCACCAGAGAGGGGAGCCAGGCTTGGTGGCAGTGCATTGGCGTTGGGGCTGGGCCTACAAGCCAGAGAAGCCGCCTCACCGGAGAGGCGTGACGGTGGTGGTGGTGGCTCAGGTGCGGTGATACCGGGCCCGCTGGGCAGAGACGTCACCTCTCTGGACAGAGGTGGCAGGGGGGACAATGGAGACGCCTCAGCCTCAGGCCTGCCCGTCGACACCATATTGGATGCCGAGGCCCAGGCCAAAGCCGTGGCCAGCCTGCGCCTCCATTCGCGGAACTCCTTCGTGGTGGTGCCACGCCGGGCAGCCGCCTCCCCTCCCCCAGACCCCGGCGAGGCTCGGCAGGAAATCAGCACTTCTCCTCCAAAGCCTGCCGCTGCTCCGGCCTCCACTTCCTCCTCCTCCTCCCCCAGCCGTGAGCAGCTTCCCCTCCCGGCCAGCGCCGAGGAGCCGGCCGAGGGGGAGGCCATGAGGCGCGGGGGCCGGGGCCCCGGGAGCTGGGGGGCCCCTCCGCCCTGCCCCACCCGGCCGTGCAGCGCCGGAGCGGCAACACCATCACCATCAATCCCCGCAAGGCACCGGTGCCAGCCGTGGAGAACGGCGTCGAGGGCGAGGGGGGCCCCGCGGCGCCCGAGAAGGCAGCCGGCGCCCCACTGAAGAAGCGCTACCCCACGGCGGAGGAGATCCAGGTGATTGGGGGATACCTGTCCCTGTCGAAATCCTGCCTGGCCAAGAACGACCCCCACCGCAAAAAGGTACCGGCGCGCTCCTCACTCCCTCCTTCGCTCGCCCTCTTGCGTTCCTCCTTTCCCTGCTCTCTTTCGTTTTCTCTGCTTCGTGCTCTCACTTTTCACTCTCCCTCCTCTCGCCATTTTTATCCTTTCTTTCTTTCTTTCTTTCTTTCTTTCTTTCTTTCTTTCTTTCGTTCACACCCTCTCTCGGCTGTTTCATTCTTTCTCGGCCTCAGTGTCTCTCATTCTTTCCCTTTTTAGTCTTTCTTTTTTTTGCTCTCCTTCATTCCTCCTCTTTCTTTCTCTCTCCTCTGCTCATTCGTTCACTCTTTTCTTCATTCTCTCTTCCTTTTGCTTCTCTCCCGCTTTCCCCTCCCTCTTGTCATCCCTCACTGTCTCTCCTCCCCTCATTCCTTCTCCTCCTCCTTCAGGTGCCTAATACAGGTTTGAACGTGGCGACGCCAACCCCAGGCGTGGGGCCGTTAGCCATGGTTGACCTCTGACCTCCTGCCCGGGCCCAGCTCCCATTGGGAAGTGTCTCTGGCCCTCGTGGGCCAGGGATATAGAGCACGTGGTGGAGGCCGGGGTTGTCATGGGATCCACAAGGATGTGGTCCAGGAACGTCCCCACCCTGTTCTCCTGGTGCTAGAGCAGGAAAGGCGGGGGATGGAAATAGGGTGGTTGATTCCAATTCCTCCAGGTTTGGATGGGAGCCGGCGCCCCCTAGAGGGGAAAGGTCCCATATCCCATTCCCCACCCCTCTGAGCCAGCTGGTTCCTTTTGGAGTAACCTGGCTTGAGTTTGTAGCTGGCTTATGGGGACTGGGGGGAGTAGGATATTTGACCTTTCCCCGATAGGGGATGCCAGCTTCAATCTGGCCCCAGGGCAAGGGCACTGGCTGGCTTGGGGAGGGAGAGGAATGGGATATGGGGTCCTTCCCCTCTTGTGGGGCACTGGCTCTGATCTGGCCACAGGGTGGGCGATTGGCTGGCTCAGGGGTATGGGGAATGGCTCACGGGACCTCTCCCCTCTAGAGACGCGGGGCTCTGATCCAGCCCCACCCTGTCACTCCCATTCCGCAGCCCCAATGTGAAATGAGTTTGTTCGGCTCCAGCCCACTTCCCTGTTGGCCGAAAGTCGCTGGCAGCCTCAGTAGAGAGGCTGAGGGCTGGACGGGCCTTGAAGCCCCCTCTTTCTTTCTCACTGGGGACCCAGTGGCAGGGGCCAGGTGGGGAGGGGGGCACCGGAAGGGAACGGGGTGATCCACAAAAGTCTTTTCACACATGTGACCCAGTCCAGGGTCTGGGGTTGTCCTTGGCCAGATGCGGCTCTGGTGTGCACAGTGGCTGGTCTGTTCTTTGCCTCATAAGGGGATCATTTAGCAGGGACAGTCGCTAGGCAAGAGGCATCCCTGGCTAAACTTTGTGGCTGAACGTCAACGGCATTTTTGCAGCCGGAGTCTCTGCCCAGCTTCCTGGCACTAAAAATGCCCCCTGGTGCTATGAATCTGTGCCCGGGGGCAGCCCCACTGGCACTGGCTACGGAGCACAAGGAGGCAGCTGGAAAAATCTTTCTACCCCATAATGCTCATTAAAGAAAAAAACTTGAGGATTCTGGAGTAACTGCTTTGAAGTACTAGAGTATTGGAGAGGAACAGATCACAATACCATCTTGTACTGGTATTATATAGGAAATAAATATAGTATGTGAGCAATATGGGGTCTACTGTAGTAGTATCATACAGTAAAAATACTAGACTAATGGGCCATAATATGTTAGACTGCTCAAAATTACTACAGACTACTAGAGTACTTGAGCGTAACAGATCACACAACTTTAAAATTGCTCTAGTATTATATAGTAAATATGGTAACATTTTAGAGTAAGGGGCTATAGTACTGTTGGATTGCAGCTCAAACATACTGCAGACTATTAGAGTACTCGAGAGTAACAAATCACAATACAATCACATTACTCTGGTATTCTATAGTGAATACGTTAAATACCAAAGCAAGGGGCTATAATAATGTTAGATGCACCATTGCGCAAAGACACTGCAAACTACTAGACTACTCGAGAATAATAACATCACACTGCTGTTAACTTGCTGGAGCATTGCTCAAAATGACTTCAAAAACACTGAAGTACTTTGGAGTAACAGGTTACAGCATTGCTAAATCACCATATTATATAGTAAATACCATAACGGTCAAGAGTATTCTGCAGTGATAAGCTGTACGACTGTTCAATTGCTACAGTATTGCTCAAATTACTACGGAGTGCTAGAGTAACATCACAGTATTGTTAAATTGCCGTGGAGTTACTCAACTTTACTGCAAAATACTAGAGTATTCCAGAGTAACAGATGACAATACGGCTAAATTATTTTACTGTTCCATAGTAAATACAGTAGTATTTTATTCCATAGTAAAGAGTAAAATGGTGTTGTTAAATTACTATAGCATTGCATTAAATCACTGTAAAAGCAGCAGTGTTTTTGTAGCCAGGTCAGTCCCAGGATATTAGAGGGACAAGGTGGATGAGGTAATATCTTGTATTGGTCTAATTTGTCTCGCTCACCAATAGAAGTTGGTCCAATAAAATATATTACCTCCCCCACCTTACCTCTGTAAAGTACCAGGGTATTCTAGATGAATAGACTGTTAAATTACTGCAGTAATGTCCCAAATTACTGCGAAGCACTAGAATATCCTACAGGGTGATGTCAAGATACTGTTAAAATACTGCAGTATTCTATAGTAAGTGCTTCCGAATGTTATGGTGTTCCAGTGAATAGATCAAAATACTGTTAAATGTTTTCAGTATTGCATAGCAATTACTTTAAAAAAATACTTTAAAGTACTGGAAGGGTGGGAAAGTAATAGGTCTCAATATTGTTAAAATACTACAGTGTTGTATGGTAAGTACTCAAAAATACTGAGAACAAATTGAGTGTAGTCTACGGTATCAGATCACCGTAGTATTAAATGACTACAGTACTCTCTATGGTAATGCTTGCCAGATAAATACTGCTTTGCTCTAAAGTAGTCAATATATGTTTTAAAAATAGGATAGTATTTTAGCTAGTCTGTCTGTATATCATCCATCTCCCTGCGCTCGTGTCTCTCACTTTCTCTTTCTCTCTCTCTCTTGAATCCACATAAGCAACTATCTATCCATCTAATCACCATATGCATCTGTCTATCCCTCTCTCTAATGCATGCATCCATCCGTCCCCTATAGGCATCATCCAATCCCCATCCATCCCCCTCCATCCATCCAGTCTCCATACATCCCTCTCTGCCCATCCAGTCCCCATATCATCCATCTCTCTACCTCATCCCCATATGTGTTTGTTTCTTTATCTAACTCCCGACCTTTCCCCTTTCAGCATCAATGGCAAAGACTCATTGCCACAAATCCAGGTGCTCTAGGGGTGGGCACCCCCATGGTGACCAAGCCAAGATAACCCCCTCCTACTTCCCCGCTCCCATGCCACGTGTTGCCTCGGCCCTTTAATGCTCTAGTCTAGCACCCCCCGATGCTGGTCTGCTCTAGAATCCTGGGCTCCATTTCCTACGCTGACTTCGACAGAGCGACCTCCATTGACAGGGTCTGGACCTCGGTGTTTATGGCTCCAGCATCCTGTTGTGCTGCATTACTGCAGGGACTGTTACAGAATATGGTGGGGAGTGTTACTCTAGAATGCTCTCGTGGTTTTCACTCTAGACTACTGTGATCAGCCACAACCCTGCAATGGAGCTCAGTACTGGTACTGTCAGCACCAGGGCCTTATCTGTATCTCTAGAATACTCTGGCAACAGTTGTTCTAGAACACTCTGGTGCTTATTGTTATTCTAGAAGTGTGTGGTGACTGATGCTCCAGAATATCCCAGTGGTTAATTACTCCACAAAACAGTGCCGGAACAGAGCGGTGATTGCTACTCCAGCGGTAACAACTGTTCTTGAACACAGGCTGTGATGTTCTAGAAAACAGCGGCACATACCGTTCTAGAATGCATTGGCAGTAATTGTTGGTCTAGAATGCAGGGCCTGTTGCACTGGAATGCATAGGAGGGGCCTGTTGCTCTAAATCAGAGTGGAAGTTCTAGAACATGGGGTAAGGCAGCTGAGCACTCAAGAACGCACTATGTGTCATACTGGTGTGCAGCGGAGGAAGGGGGTTGCTCTAGAATGCATTGAACAGATAGCAAGTTGCCGCTTCAGAGCATGTGGTGAAGGCAGGCTGCCACTCTAGAATGCTGTTGATGTCACTCTGGAATGACGTAGAGAGGGCCTGTCGCTCTATAATGTAGTGGCTGTTGCTCTAGAAAGCTTTGGAGATGTCTGGTCCTGTAAAACACACTGGAAGGATGGCAGCCTGCAGCTCTAGAACATGAGAGGGGCAGGCTGTTGCTCTGGAATATAGTGGAGGGCGCTGTTTCTCTGGCATGCGGTGATTGGGTGGAGAGTTAAATCTCTGGAACATAGGACTGGGGGCTGTCACTCTAGAACATGGGAGCTAGCATGGTGGAGCACAATGGAGGGGCCTGTTGCTCTAGAATGCAGTGAAGGGAGGCAAGTTGATGCTCTAGAACATGGGGTTGTGGGGCATGTTGCTCTAAAATGCAGTGAAGGGAGGTGAGCGGAAGCTCTAGAACATGGGGGTGGGGGTTGTCTCTCTAGGTTACAGGACCTGGCACGTGGGAGTGCAGTGAAGGGGCTTGTTGCTGTGAAATGCAGTGAAAGAGAGGTGTTGAAGCTCTAGAAGATGAGGCTGGGGCTGGCACACTAGAACGCAGGCACTAGCACTCGGAGCACAGTGGAGAGGCCTGTCGCTCTAAAAGGGTGTGAAGGGAGGTGAGCTGAAGATCTAAAACACGGGGCCATGGGGGCTGTCACTCTAGAATGCAGTGGTGGGATGTGAGCTGAAGATCTGGAACACAGGGCTATGGGGGCTGTCACTCTAGAATGTAGTGGTGGGATGTGAGCTGAAGCTCTAGAACATGGAGTTGTGGACATGA